GTTTCTGTGTTTTTGTTAGGCGGGTGTTGTTCAGACTTCATGGGTGGAGTGGTTGTTGGAAACCCTAAAGCATAGTTATAATGCTGTCTTCGATTCTGCAATGGGGAGTTTCATGTTTGGCTTCCGCCGCATCGGACACCGAACTTCTCTAACCCTGAGGCTCCGTGTACCTATATGGGTGGTTGTCCAAATTAGGGTCCCTTTTTGGGTCCCTATTATAATACGGCACCTAATAGCCTAATATTTAGGGTACCCAAAAAGGGGCCCTAAGTTTGACAGCTACCCATATAGTATGTACTTGGACGTTAAGGTACCTATACAGTCACCTGGCGGCCTAAGTAAACTTTATATAGGCACATGGAGCCTTAGAAGAAGGAATGATTTGCCCGAGAGATTGTGGATCTTCAGCCGAAATGCATATTGTTGTTAGGGCGATTACCCTCAGGGTCCATGTACTATTATACTTGGACCTTTAGGGTTCGGGGATTAGGGCTCATCAGAATTTGTTTGCAAGATTCCCTACAAGGTAGGCGTTGGTGTTAAGGTAGAGTCTGGGATGTAGGTTGCATGCCGAGGCGATGAGCTATGAAAACCAGTTCCTCGCGGACATTCTGCTGGGAGGGCAGTTGGGAGTTGTCGATGCGCGGGCTTTCGATTTTGCCAGTAGGCTTGAAACCCTAAACCCTACACCTTGAAACCCTAAACCTAGACCCCAAGGACGTAGGGTTTAGGGCTTTGGGCTCTCATATCCTGCATCCTGTACCATGTCCCGGGTTATTGCCAGCCTTTTGCTCCTTAAAACTCAAACCTAGTAGGAGAATAGGTAACCTTTCACCTTTTATGGGTAGTCCAGTCCCTATATAATCCCTATATAACCAGAAGGGTGACAAGTAGGCAAATGTCACCCCTCAGGGTTTACAGGGAACTCCAGAAAGTTGGAATATGGTTTCATGGTAGGATACTCTATAATTCACCATAGACGGGTTAGGATAATCATATTACAACTTTCTGGCTTTTACCTTAGCGGTTTAGGGTCCCAAGACTGGACTCACCCCAAAAACCTGATGCTGTACCCAGAGCCTCCAAAACCCCTTAATTAAGGAATATGCCGTAAAATCATATTAGGGATCCTATTATAATTTAAGGTATATTCCTTAATTAAGGGGTTTTGGAGGCTCTGGGTATGGTCTTCTGTCGTAGAAGCCCTAGAATACGAGTCCTACGAGCCCGAGGGGAGAACCGTGAATCCCGACCTTGTTATGTTTAGCCTAACTGGGGGTGTGTGGGGATTAAGAAACTTTGGGCCTTCATCAGTGTTCCTTATGATATGAATCCTAGTATTTTTGGGTATAGGCCCAGGGTTTCCTACATTACTGGGGGTGTGTGAGGCTTTAGGGCCGGGTTTAGGGTTCACGATTTGGGGCCCCAGGGCGCAGGGCTTAGGATAATTAGTATACGTACTGTTTAGGGCTAGGGTTTAGCGCAGAGGTTCCTAAGGTATTAGAGATGCTTTCGACAAATGAAGTTCAGGCAGTCGTATATAAAGCTCGTCATCAAACCAGGGGAAGTTGATCTTATTTGAAGCATCATCGCACTTGCGGCAACAGCGACATCGGCATTAGCACTGTAAGTACTCGAAAGTCAACATCATGCATCAGATTTTATGCAGCATCATCGTCACCGTTCGTCGTCGATTTTTCTCTATTGACTGTTCAGGTCAGTGGATAGCTGAGTCTACTTGAATCATGACTTCGATACCCGAGTTAGATTAGAGGAAGGAAAAACCACTAGATTAGAGGAAGGAAGAACCACTGCCTCAGACCACACCTCGACTTCTATATATGGCAGATCCGAACCATGAAACTAGGTATGCAAAAAAAGGGGTGGATTACGACCCTCTAGGTAGACATTAAAGTGATCAGGATGTAGAGTGGTTCGAAGTCGAGCGGCCTTGTGTCAATCTGAACGCAGCCGACAAGAAACCCAAACCCTACATTGCACCTAACATCCAAACTTCAACACCACAACCCTTAAAAAGCCTTGTACGGCAAAAATCCCATGCCCCCCCTTTCTTCGCTTGCAGCCATTTCGGCCACGAAGCATTGCTGCTGCGTCGTAGACGTAGCTGCTCTCGCCTGTCTTGGCACCCAATGAGCCCTACACCCCTTAAGGTGTCAAGTTCAGGGCTTGCAAAAACGCCAAGAAACCTTCCTTTTGGGTGGGGCTTAGGGTTCCTTAATATGATTTCCTTATACAAGTTCTCAAAAAGGCAAACTAAACTACAGAGGGGTCTCTGAGGTGCATTTAAGGTTGCCGTTTGGCAGTTTACACACACATGCACACTGCTGGGCCTTAATCATTAGGATAGCATTTTGGGAGTTCCCTGTTATGGATCTAATTATTACGGCCCTAAATCCTTATAGAGCCCTTACAGAACCCTTCAAGGACTCTGTACAGGAGCCCTGTTCCAATTATTAAGGCCCCTCTATAGTAGGGCGCCATGACTGAGTCCGAGACGGCTCTCAGCCGCTTTGCCCACGAGACGAAGCGCTGGTGCAAAGAACGTTCCTTTGTTATAGGTGAGTAGCTCTTTACAGTTTTCTGGATACTTAAACCCGATAAGGTTTAACGTTTTTCTTATGGATACTCAAGCCCGAACCAACAGTTTGTTATGGATACTTCAGACCTAATAAGGAATTTGAAATACATTCTTAGTGCGATCTCAGCAATGACTGAGGTTCTATTTCGGACCGTGATGAGGAACCTGTTCGGCCCTCAGAGGACCACACGGCCCCTTCAAGGGTTCTTTTTTTAAGGGCCTTACGAACCCAAAGAGTCCAAAGTACGTTTATAGTAGAATGTAGGGTTTCTATATTCAGAATTACCATCATGATTTGGAGAAGTATCCCCCCGTAACAGTACCTGGGACCCTTTGGGTAGTTACACATACTACTTTGGGGGCTCCGTATTATATACTTATAGTGTAATGGGCCCCAAAACCTTGTTCTAACTCTTAAGGTCCCTATGCTATACGGGTTTCTATAAGGGTTACTGGGAGCATTCTTGTACTGGTTTCTGTAAGAGCTAAGACCACTCTAAGGGTAGAAGATATTGGACTCAAGAATTAGAACAGTGCTTTGGAGCATGTTGTTGCAAGTAACCTTACAGAATAGCAACAATGAGTAATTGAAGGCGCTACGATACGTCTTCCAGGGCTCAAAGCGCGCAAGGCTTTAGGGTTAGGGTTTTAGGGGCTTACTTGGAGGGTCGGGGGACTAAGTAACTGGTTATTCTATGGACTCAAAAGTGTCATAAACTCCAATGAGGATCCCTTTTAGGCTACTTATAAGTCTACTTACTACCTACTTACCAAGTCCCCCGACCCTCCAAGTAGGGCCTAAGTAGGGTGCAGCTAGATGATCCTAGCAACTTTGGTCCCTACAATCCCCCTGAAGGCCTGCGGATATTAGGGGTCCATACTTATAAACTTAGACAAGGGGCTTAGGGGCTACGCATCGGTAAAGTTCACCACAGGTTTACTGGGGTTTGTTTGGCGCCATGAGGCTTCCGGGGGCTTAGCGGATTTTGGTCCTCTTGTGTGTGTGTGTGTGTGCATGTGTCTCTCTCCCTCGCTCTCTCTGTTGTTTTCTCTCTATCTCTCTCTCTCTCTCTCTCTCGTTTTTTTTGTTGTTCTCTCTATCTCTTTTTTTCTTTCTCTCTCTCTCTCTCTCTCTCTATATGTATGTACATTTTTCCCCCTTGAGGGATCTTGGGAGCAGACCTTTCGATCATAAGCCGCCGGTGCCGTGAGGAACACTCGCCTTCCGGGGAGTTATCCAATATACCAAGTAGCAGGGTTTGGGGGTTCAGGGTTTAGGGAACGGTTTTTGATACCTAGAACTATTTTGGGCACTTGGACCCTTGTGGTTTAGCATTTATATCGAGGACCCTTGTCATCTTCATTCATGGAGTGTGATTCTTGGCCGGAGGTCTACTTCCAAGCGCCAAAGCCCAAGAAGAGACCGCAGGCCCTGCTCATGGCTGCTGGAGAAGGGGGCGCCACTGGAAGCATGACACGGAAAGCTGCGCGCCATGCAGACCTCCGACCATTGGTGTCAGCCCAGGAGGACCAGGAGATCGAGGCGAACCGCGACAATGTCGAATGGACCCCATTGATCTTGACTCCGATGGTGAGGCGGCTGCAGATGTTCAGCCGACGTCCTTGGAGCCTTCGGAAGTTCGACAGTCTGGGATTGCAGTCTCCTCCTCTTCGTCGCAGAGCTTTCTGGCTCCTGCTACACCGCCCTTTGTTGAGGCGGGACTTATCCTTCGCATCGCGTTGGTGCAGCAAGCCGCCCAAGGCTTCAGAGATGGTGAAAATTAGTTTGGACGGAACCGGCACTCCGCCGGAGGCGTTCGTGTTGAATCCAGACCTGCAGATCATCAGCGAGCGCTACGGTTTTGAATACATGCCTTCGAGTGCAGTGCTCCCCAACATCTCCGACTTAGGCTACGGTTTAGACCTCTGGGCTTCTGCCCTTGGCTCCCCTTTTAGGCATCTAACGCGACGGGGTGACTTGAAGACGAAGACAGCGACTTTTGTTAGCATATTGGCCTGTTTTAATGGTTTCTGCATCACAGGCACGCAGGGTTGTTGATAGCACTACACCATGGGAAACGAAAGCCAACTTCAGCAACCCCACACCCCATAAATCCTAAACCTCACATCCGTAAACCCCCAATCGTGGCTGAGGAACTTCCATTCCCAATGTATACCGTATCCTGGAAGGCGGGAGGGTGGTGTTAGGGTCCTCATTAATAGGGTTCCTCTAACAAGGGCTCCTTTAAGGGATCCTATCAGGGGACTATAAGGGTTTACTATAGGGGCCGAACTAACTACCTATACTATTTGGGGCGGCTAGGGTTTTGGGCGTTTTCTGCAAGGGGGTTAGGGGGTCATGGTTTAGGGTTCAGGGTTCTACAGCTTCTGGGGTTTGCGAAGCAGAGGTTTAGGGTACCCCAAGGGTCCAAGTACCTAATAATTAATATACTTTCTCAAATCCTAACCTTCCTAACTACGATCCTAAAACCGAGTACCTGATTATTGGGTCCTTTGGACCCTTGGGGGTAGTCTTAGGGCTCTAGCTGTGGAGCTTTGGTCTTCGCCTCATGTGGGCTTCGGGTTCTGGCACGTGTCTGTCGGGCTGAAGTGGTTTAGGTGGAGCTATATATTGGTGGTTGTCAAAATTGTGGTCCCTCTTTAGGTCCCTATTATAATACGGCACCTATTATTTAGGGTACCCAAAAAGGATGCATAATTTTGACAACCACCCATATATGTCTACTTGGCGTTCTTCGGGTTGGCCCTTAGGACCTAACTTTTTGGGCTTCTATACGGAGCATACTAAGGAGCCTAAAAGGTTAACTTTTAGGATGGGTTCAGAAGTCAGCCAAGTATAGTTGCTGATTTCCCTTTCTGGCCACAACCCTAACCAGAACCCTTAACCGTGGCCCATATGACCCGCCTTCATACCCGAACCACCTACTCCCCCTGCTCAGCATTTTAGTGTACAGTTTCCGCAGAACCACGACCCTACTACGTGAGCGCCTTAGGGTGTTGTGTTGAAGAAGCCGCTCAATGGAACTCGGCGTCCCGATCCATGCTTGGGGGTCGGGGGCCTTGGTAGTTGACTTGTAAGTACTAGAACCCCAATGTTGATCCTTATTAGGTTACTTATAAGTCTACATCAAAAGCCGAAACGCCTGAGCCCTAAACCCAAAAGACCGTAAGCTCCATGCTCGAGCCCCAGAGCCAGGGCTTGGGGTTCGAAGGTTCTACGGCAGATGACAGAAGTACGACCCTTTGAAGAACTGATGGATGACGGATCCCTCACGGTGTTCAAGGACGGGATATTGGGGTTCAGGGTGTAGTGAGGGTTTAGAGTTTACGGGTTTATGGTTTAGGATGTGTTAGGATTCAGTGTAGGGTGCAGGGTTGAGGGCTTGGCGAGGAACAAGGGCAGCCTTATTGTTAAGGGGCTAGTGCGAACCTGATTTGAGCGATTATTTATTTTATACAGCACACAGCAAGGTTCAAAGTCTTGTAAGGTAAAGTCCTTAAACCCTAGACCCCTTAACCCTAAACCCCAAAACATCCTTCTGTTAAGGATACTGCATCTCCTGAAGCCCAACACACAAGAAATTAAACTCCTCAGCCCCAAATCCAAAATCCAAGTCCCCATCTCGCAAATGCCCAAACCCTGGATTTTTAGGATGCCCAGTAGTACCCTTATTCCCTTCTTGTAGTCCTAGGTCCCTTCTAAAAGTACCCAATACCAAAGAGGGAGCCCAGTTTATTCCTAGGTTACTGGGCATCCCTAAACCCTAAACCCTAAACCCTAAACCCTAAACCCTAAACCGTACTTGATCTTGGCGTTCTTCTGGTTGGCTCTTAGGACTCTAACTTCTGGGTTTCTACATGAGCCATATAATGTTTAGGGTTTAGGGTTTAGGGTTTAGGGTTTAGGGTTTAGGGTTTAGGGTTTAAGGAGGCGAAAAGTTTGTCTTTCAGGATGGGTTCAGAAGTCAGCCAAGCGATCTCAACGGCACTGTTGGCGTTTGTGCGTCATTACGGCTTAGGGGCGCCTATCGATCCCTCTTCCGTGTGATGGGTTTCGTCCGGGATGTTCGAGGGGCCGTTACCCAGACCCCGGGGACAATCCAAAAAGTAGATCCCTTGATGGGGGTTCCCATAAAGTGCCCTTTAGTAGAGAAATTAGCGGATCTACTTTCTGGATCCTCCCGGGGGTCTGGGTACTTGACATAGCGCGTTACAGGTTTAGCGTCCTGGGTTGTTTTCGGTCAGCATCACCTAGGAGTTGTCACTACATTACAGATCGGAATGTTTGGAGTCTGTCTATCTCCGCTTCTACCTATCGATCTTTCGATCTGTCAATCTAGCGATCGATCGATCCATCGATCGATGAATCGGTCGGTCTGTTTGTCTGTCTGTCCGTCTGTTTGTTGTCTGTATCTGTCTGTCCGCCTGTCTGTCGATCTGTCGATCTGTCAATGTATCTTTCCATCGATCTGTCTATCTATGTTGTATCTAACTGTCGATCTATCTGTCGACATATCTAGCTACGAGCCTCCAATACCGCTTGACTTAGGAATGCCAGAATCCTATCGGCATCCGTCGCAGGGTTATACATGTAGACCGCTGCCCAACAGAGTCCCTCCCCTGATAAGGGCTGGAATATAATCTTACTGTTGATAGTATAAATCCTGCATTACCTTTAAGGACCCTAAACTATGAGAAAAAGGCATATTCCTTATTCTGGGTACTGCAGGATTTCTATCATAAACCGTAGTAGTATGGTCTTTCTACGAAGTTGACTCATCAGGATTTAGGTGTTTTCCTTGTATGATGGGTTTTGGTCTCCTCGTAGGTCCCTAAACCTGAACCCGAAAACCTTGGACACGAAAGCCCCTATTTCCTTAAATTGACAGAAAGCGCTGCCACCATTTGGCAAGAAAATTGGTTTCGCTGAGGTGGGTGTCATCGAGTGGCCAACACGAAGCCACAAACCCTAAACAGGAGCAAATGGGCAAAGCCTTCTTCGTCTCGCACCAGTGGCTGGCCAATAGCCATCCCGATCCGCGCGGGGAACAGCTCAAGGCAAGTTTTTGTTGTTTATCTAGGACCTAGAGTAGGCCCTTATTCCCTTTTTTGGGGTTCAGGTTCCCTTATAAGCCCCTTTAAACCAAAAAGGGCACCCTTTTTATTCCTAGGTTACTCTTGGGTCTAGTTTAGGAGAACGGCTTTCTTGCGGGGTTCTAAACGGGGGGATAGGGGGTTCTATGGGGGTTCTCCCTACAAGGGGTCAGAGTCCCCGAGTTTGTAGGGAAGTCGGGAAAAGGAGCAGGAGGAGGAGAAGGAGGACCGAGAGGTATGCCTGAGATTTCTAGAACCAATGAGGGGTGTAAGGGGTGCATGTACAAGGGCTTCGTGTTTAGGGCTTAGTGGTTCTGGGTTCATACGGCTTCGGGTTCAAAGTTATGGGTCAGGGGTCAGGGAGTAAAGTTATTATACAAGGGTTCCAGGGTTTCGTGCTAAGGATTGACTAGGCAGCCTTTCGGGAATCTTGGCAATTTGTCTCGACTGCCTTAGCGGGCTCTATGCGTAGAGTCTGATAGAAACCTGCGGGGGCTTTGAAGCCTACTTGGAGGTTCATGGGTAGTTATAAGTGGGGTCATAAGTCCCCTAATATGGCTTATAACTATTGTTATCTTACTTATAACCCCACTTATCAGACCCCCTTTTGGAGCATCCAAAATAGATCCCTTAATGGGGGTTTCTATACAGTACCCTTGGTAGTATAGGGCCCCAAATTAGGGAATCCACTTTCTAGATCCTCTCGGGAGTCTGGTTATGGCTGAGATCCAGCTTACCAACCCCCAGCACCGAAATCCCGAAACCACATGGTATCCTAAAGCCCTAAACCCTAAACGTCTCATCCCCGAACCCTTGGCTTTCCTTTTTCCCAAGTTTCAGCTCTAGAATCCCCAAACCCTTCACCCCCCCAAACATACGCTTTAGCATTTAGCGTCCCTGAAAACAGCGATTACCTGATCAGCTTAGTTGCTGAGCTGCTCTTTCTTTCTTGCACTTTTTAGCATTTAGGGTTTAGGTTTCTCCAACAGTCTGCGAGGTTTTGCAGGAGGCCCTCAGCAACATCATGTCTGGTACCAGCCAGGCCCGATTGTTGGCTAAACCGCGGGTTTAGGTATACCTTAGAAAGAACATTCTTAAATCATACTAGAGATCCTACTTGAATTTACGGTATATACCTTAATTAAGGGTAATTAGATTTTTTGGGTGGGCATACCCTAAACATCCATAAACCCTGAACCACGTGGAGGTCAGGTCTTTGGGGTGGGACCTCGGGTCACTTTGAGTGTCGGAGGACTTAGAAACTAGTTATTTTAGAGACTTATAAGTACCATAACCCCAATTAGGATCCCTTTTAGGGTACTTATAACTCTTCTTACTACCGACTTACTAAGTCCCCCGACCCCCCAAGAGGGATCCTGGGTCTTCGACATTTTGGGAACTACGGTTTGATGATATAAACCCTTGGCGTTCTTCTGGTTGGCTCTTTAGACTCTAACTTTTAGGGTTTCTATATGAACTATACTAAGGAGGCTAAAAGTTTAACTTTTAGGAGGGGTTCAGAAGTCGGCCAAGAACCCTTGCCTTAAGGACCCTAAACTATGGGAAGTACGGTCTATTCCGTATTAAATAGGCTCATGATAGAAATCCTGCATGACCCTTAAATTAGGGGTCATGCAGGACTTCTATCATCAACCGTAGGTAACTAGGTGAAGTTAAGCCAAACCCCAAAGCCTAAACTGGCCTAAACCCCATAAACCCCGAAGCCCTAAACCCCAAACCCACCCAAAAGGGTTTCGGTCATGGGCTGCAGATATACAGAATCCGGGGCTGCGTGACGCAATGCCCTGGCAGAAGGCAGTCCAAAAACGTAAACTTAAGGGTTTAGGGCTTTAGGGTGTACTTAGTAGCTGAGTGGATACACTTTACACTTTCTGGGGTAATATTACCCACTATAAAACTAAACGCGTACACTTTGGGGGGCTTATGAACTCAGCAACTAAGTGCAGGGTTTAGGGAGTTTGGGGTTTAGGGGTTTAGGGTTTCGGACGGGAAGCCCACACCTTGCCAATGTTGCCTAAGCCGTTGTAATCACAGATCAGTACATGGGAGTTTCCGAGAATTAGGGGTACCGTATTTTGGGGTCCTTATCATAAGGATCCTACTATTTAGGGTACCGGATGAGGGTCCCCTATTTTGGGAAAGTCCCATATATTACTATTCCTTGGACTTCCTCATCCGCATGAGTCTTTAGCATTCCCAAAAAAACCCAAAGGCTCACCACCCCGAACTACGAACCCTAATCCAGCACTCGAAAATGGGATCCTAATTGGGTTCCGAGACTTACAAGTCTATACAGTGGCTACGTACTAAGTCCACTGATCCGCCAAGTGGGGAGTGTTCAGAAAAGGCCTGCAGTGTCCCCAATCATCACATCGGCGGAAGGGGGGTTTCAGATTTGGGGTGTAGGGTTTAGGGCTCTTATGGTTGATCCACAGAGGGAAACCAAGTTAAAAAAACACCACCCTCTGCCCCTAAAAACCTCCCAGCAGGCTAACAGGTGGCGCTTCGGGATCCTAAATTTCCTTGAACGGCCTTCCAGATGTATTAGGAAACCCCGTAAACCCTACCTTAACAGAAATCATATTAGGGGGCCCTAAAAAGGTAGGTTCCTTTCAGTAGGGCCCAGGTAAACCCTAAACCGTCTTTTTGGGCCCAAAAGAGAGCAAGCCAGACTTCCAGTCCTGTTATCCTCACCCGAATTACCCACTTGGAGGGTCGGGGGACTTACCCAAAGGCTCCATGTAACCTTATAGTAGATACTTAAGCCCTAAAGGGGTCCGTATGTAGGTACGTTAAGGCCTAGCCTAAGTATATACTATAAGGGTACATGGAGCCTTAGGGTTAGTAAGTAGTTTCTTGGCGTTCTTCTGGTTGGCTCTTAGGACTTTAACTTGATCGGTTTCTAGATGGAACCATAGTAGGTAGGCTAAACATTTAACTTTTAGGAGGGGCTCAGAGGTTAATATCATAACCCTATAACCCTTTTTACGGTCCCTTTCAGGGTGCTTGTAAGTCTCATTATTACTTACTTACTGAGTCTCCCGGCCCTCCAAGTAGTTGTACGAAGCGTACAGAAGAACTTCAACATGTTGGAGTCCCTAAACCCTAAACCCTAAATGATATTTAAACCTTAAGGTTTTTACCTATTTTCGCTTTGGTTATAGGGGTGTGTAAGGATCCGGTCTACCTACCCTCTGCAGGTGCGGATCCCGCTGACTTTGGAGCTGTGGCTTGACACATCTGGACTTGGCGTGCTTCTGGTTGGCTCTTAGGACCCTAACTTCTTGGGTTTCTATATGAACCATAATATGGAGGCTAAAAGTTTAATTTTTAAGAGGGGTTCAAAAGGAAATTGGGTTTCGGGTTTAGGGTTGTTAGAGGTTCCCTACAAGGTTTCTAGAAGGTTCCGGTGCGGGGTTTCGGCTTTAGGGTTCAGGGTTCCCGGCAAGCTGGCTTAGTAGTGGGCTCCGAGCGCCCTACATGAGGCGCTGCAAGCTGGACGCAGCAACAGCAAGCGCAGAGGACATTGAGGTGCCTGTCACATCAACCAGTTAGCTCTTTGACGCACTTGAAACTGAAACGTTGAAGGCAGATCTGGGGCGGGTTGCCAGCCTCGTGACACTTCCTGTAAGACAAGAAGAAGCTATGGAGCTGTCACTCTCGGCGTTACTTTTTCGGTCTCTTCGTGTCCTTGACGGACCGGGAAGACGCTGCCGCATCGCTCGACACCCGACACATACAGCTCTTGCATCATCATCAGAATATTCTGGGGAGATGGACTCGCCGTCACCACCGACACCACGGGAACCGCGAATGCCAAGCAGGCCAAGCCCGTTCGGCTTTCCAAAGATCCTGCCCCGTCGTCCTCAACTGGGTGACTGGATGTGATCTTGGTTTACCGGCTTTCCAGGTTCGATCGCGCTGGACGCCCTAAGCCCTAAACCCCTAAACCCATAAACCCCAACAGTCTGTAAGCCCGAAACCCCTTAAACCCTACACCCTAAGCCCTCAACCCCAAACCTTAAACCCTGAACCCGAAACTCTACACCTTTAACCTTGCACCCTGAACCCTAAACCCTGAACCCTAAGCCTATATACCCTATAAGTCTGTAAGCCCGAAGTCCTTCAACCCTACACCCTGCAAACCCTGCACGCTGAACCCTAAAACTGAAACCCTAAACCCTACACTTGCAAGCCCTGCACCCTAAACCCTAAACCCTCAACCTTAAGCCATATAAACCCTAAACCTTAATCCCTACATCTTGAACCACTAACCCTACGCCCTAAACCCTGATCCGATCCGAGACTCTATGGCCGCGTGGGCACACCGAAATCTTCCGACTTGAAGCCGGAATCGCTCTACATTTGGCGACTAGGCTTTAGGGTTTAGGGGTTTAGGCTTTAGGGTTTAGGCTTTAGGGTTTAGGGGTTTAGGCTTTAGGGTTTAGGCTTTAGGGTTTAGGGGTTTAGGCTTTAGGGTTTAGGCTTTAGGGTTTAGGGCTTTAGGGTTTAGGGCTTTAGGGTTTAGGGGTTTAGAGTTTAGGATTTAGAGGTTTGGGGCTTGGGGTTTAGAGGTTTTAGAGTTTTTTTAGGTTTGGGGCAATTTGGCGTCTCGTCTTTGAAAGGTGGGTGTGTTTAGGGTTTAGAGGGTTTAGGGTTTTAAGGGTTGAGGGTTTTTCGCCGAAGTCTTTGATCGGGGGGTTTAGGGTTTAAAGGATTTAGGGCACTTGAAAGGGTTTGAGGAGGGCTTAGGCGTCTTATCGCTGAAGGTTTAGGGCTTATAGGGTTTAGAGGTTTAGGGTCTTTCGCCGGAGTCTCTCTACATCTGGCGTCACGTCCTTGAAAAGGGGGTGCTTAGGGTTTAGGGTTTATAGGGTGTATATAGGGCAATTAAAAGGGCGTGAGGAGGGTTTGGGGTTCTCATCGCTGAAGGTTGAAGGTTTAGGGTTTATAAGGTTTGGGGGTTTAGGGGTGGAGGGTTTAGTTTTTTTCGCCGGAGTTTCTCTACATCTGGCGTCTCGTCCGACACGGTTTGAGGAGGGTGGGGGGACTTAGTATGTAGTTTTCTTTTGGACATAAGTATCATAGCCCCAATGGGAATCCCTTTAAAGGTACTTATACGTCTACTTCTTCCGTACTTACAGAGTCCCCCGACGCTCCAGTTTAGGAGGGCTTAGAAATGGTACGGGGTTCTGGTGCCTCGTTGTGTTTCAAGGAGCCATTAGGTTTTTTTTGAGTCTTGTCTTGTAAAGGTGTAGCTAGTGTGTTCCATAAAGATACCGTAAACATAGTATACGAATCCCTTCACTTGCAGCTCTACATCTTTCAGAATTTTCCATCCGGGGTTTACCGACAGAGTCCTTGTAAAGTGTATTTCAAGTGCTACTATAGGCTATTGCAGGGTTTGGGGATTCAGGACGTTCTCATTGTATAGAGTTGTAAGTATCACAACCACATACGGATCCCTTTCGGGGCACTTACAACCCAGGTGTTACATTTGGTGTCTCGTCTGCTTAAATTTACCCTAAACCCTACACATTAAAGGATTAGGAGGGGATCGGTCTTGGGGTTTCGTGCTTCAGTGCTATAGGGCTTCGGGGTGGGATCAACCTCGTACATCCGGCACCTGTGCAATGCAAGCGACATCCGTGACACGGTGCAGTGGTTTACTTGGAGGATGATGGGACTTAGTAAGTACGGTTACAAGTACCCTAATTCATTGGGGTTATAAGTAGTTACAAGTATAGTTACCCTAATTATAACCCAGTTACTAAGTCTCATGACCCTTTAAATAGGATCATGTTCAACATCTTTTTGTATGAGTACAACGGTAGTGGCAGCGGTCGTGGTAGCAGTAGTGGTAGTGGTAATGGTAGTTATGGTGGCATAGGGATACGGGTCGGGGTAGTGGTGGCGGTAGAGGTTGTGGTTCGAAGTATCCACTACCTGTAGCAGTAGCAGTAGTAGCCGTAGTCGTAGTCGTCGTCGTGGTAGTGGCAGCAGCAGTAGTCGTCGTGGTCGAAGTAGTGCAACTACGAGTAGTCCAAAGTACCAAATAGTCATATACTTTCCCAAATCCTAACCTACATGGGTCCTTTGGACCCCTGGGGTAATATAGGAACCTGATTAAGAAACCCTGAAACCCTGGGCCTATAACCCCAAAATAGTAGGATTCATATATAAGGAGCCCTAATAAAGGCCCTAATCAGGCTCCTATATTAAACCCAATAAACCCTAAAAGCAATTAATCCTAATCACCAAAAACCCGAATAAATGCCCAAGGTTTCTTCATCAGGTTCCTACTATAGGCCCATGGAGCTTCAATGAAGGCAAAGCTTCAGAGCCCGAGGTACGACTACTTCTCTTGTCCGCAGGGTGCAGGCTCGAAAGCCGAGCCTTGGCTACAGAGAGTTAGGGCTTTCAGTGGTTTAGGGTTGAGGGGCTTAGGGGTTTAGGGTTTACCCGTTTAGGGGTTTAGGGTTTAGGGGTTTAGAGTTTAGGGGTTTAGGGTTTAGGGGTTTAGGCTTTAGGGTTTAGGGCTTTAGGGTTTAGGGGTTTAGGGTTTAGGGGTTTAGGGTTTAGGGGTTTAGAGTTTAGGGGTTTAGGCTTTAGGGTTTAGGGCTTTAGGGTTTAGGGTTTTAGGGTCTAGGGGTTTAGGGTTTAGGGGTTTAGGCCTTAGGGTTTAGGGGTTTAGGGCTTAGGGGTTTAGGGTTGAGGGGCTTAGAGTTTCCGGGTTTAGGGCTTTAGGGGTTTAGGGCTTTAGGGTTCAGGGGTTTAGGGTTTAGGGTTTTAGGGTTTAGGGCTTTAGGGGTTTAGGGGTTTAGGGTTTAGGGGTTTAGGGTTTAGGGGTTTAGGGTTTATGGGTTTAGGGTTTAGGGGTTTAGGGTTCAGGGGTTTAGGGTTTATGGGTTTAGGGTTTAGGGGTTTAGGGTTCAGGGGTTTAGGGTTGAGGGGCTTAGGGTTTAGGGTTTAGGGTTTGAGTCTATAGAGGATTGAACCCTTGGTATGTTAAGACCGAAGGCTCCATGTACCCAAGTCACTGTAGGCCTCAAAAGGTGTTCCTGTAAGGTAAAAGCCAGAAAGTTGGAATATGATTATCCTAAACCCTTTATGGTAAATTATAAGGTATCCTACCCTGAAACCATATTCCAACTTTCTGGAGTTCCCTTTAGAGGGTTACGTATATATCCCTTGCAGGTACATGGAGCCCTGGGGAATCCCCCTTTGAGAAGAGCATCATCCCGCAGGGCCCTGTTTTAAGTAGTCTGACTCGCCTTTTCCTGGGGGGGCTCGGCTTTCAGGTCTGCCTTTTGGGGTTTTAGGATTTGAGATATTGCAGGAACCTGATTAAGAAACCCCGGGCCTATAACCCCAAAACCGTAGGATTCATAAAAAGAACCTTAATAAAGGCCCAAGGTTTCTTTATCAGGCTCCTACATTAAACCCTGTAAACCCTAAAAGCCCCAAATCCTAAACCCTAAAAACCCCCTAAGAAAGGCCCAAGGTTTCTTCATCAGGTTCTGAACCCTAAGCCCTAAGCTTCCTAGGCCCGAAACCCCTAAACCCTGAACCTGTGGTCTGGAGCAGGGCTTCTTAGTAGCTGAGTGGATACACTTTGCACTTTTTGGGTTAATATCACCTACTATACATACAACTAAAAGTGTACAATTTTTGGGACAATATTACCCACCATAAAACTAAAAGTGTACACTATGTGGGGCTTTATGAAGTCAGCAACTAAGGGCTGTAGGCCTCAGGTTCACAGGTCGGGTTTGGACCCTGAGCCCTAAACCGTGAAGGCTTCAAAAGCATAGTAGAGTAGGTAACATTTAACCTTTTTGAGGTAGTATACTCCTTATATAATCCCTATATAACCAAAGGTTATTAACCTTTAGTTCCCCATGATACCCGACAAGTAGGCACCAGTCGTTTGACGACCATTGCAAGACGTTCCTTCAACAAGTCCTCGATAGGATGCCCACATTGCACATGCTGTATACAGCGTGGCTTGTTGTTTGGCATCTGTTTTTCGTGTTTTTGTTCTGTCTCTCTCTCTCTCTCTCTTTCTCTTTCTCTTTCTCTTTCTCTTTCTCTTTCTCTTTCTCTTTCTCTCTCTCTCTCTCTCTCTCCCTCGCTCTCTCTCTCTCTCTCTCTCTCTCTCTCTCTCTGTCTTTTCTCCCACTCTTACTCTAGATCCCATGATCCCACATGCAGGGTGTATGGGTGATCAGGAGAAGCAGCGACAACGCGCCATTGACACGATTGTGTCCTACGTCGCCAGGTGCCACGGGCTTCTTTGCTGAGGGTCCAAGTGATTGAATCGAAACTCTTTGTGCTGGTAGCTGAGTGGACACACTTTACACTTTTTGAAAGCCACTACAAAACTGAAAGTGTGCACTTTTTGGGCTTATGAACTTATGAACTCAGTTTACAGGGCTCTGTATGGGGGTCGGGTCTTGGAGCTTAGTGCTTGAATTCCATACCTTTATTCGATTTATCCTCAGTACCGATTATCTGAATGGTGGATCGGTGGATCCTTATGGTCGCTTCGCAATGGTCCGTGGCTTCAGCTACTCTGTCGCAGACAAAATCCTGCAGCATCCATGCTGGCAGTTTGTGCATTGCACTGTTTGTGGCGAGTACTTCGAAACCCTAAAGCCTAAGCCCTAAACCCCATACTAAGTCCTAAGTCGAAGCTCGAACCCCCTAACAGGTGCGAGTACTTCGAGACCCTAAACCCTAAGCACAAACCCCCATATTAAGTCCTCATATTCTAAGCCCTAAATGAAAACTCCAATCCTAAAAAGGTGCGAGTACTTCGTCATCCTCTGCCCCGAGTTGATGCACTTCGACGTCGGGGTCTTGCTCGGCCAGGATGGGCTTGGGACTTCAAGGTGAACATACATAGAGGATCATGGGACTTAGTAAGTCAGGTTATAAGTACGTTATAATTAGGATAACCCCACTTAGGGGACTTGTAATCCCTATTATAACTTACTTACTAAGTCCCATGATCCTCAAAGTAAGCTAGGGTTTAGTTCAGGGTGTGGGGGCATTGATACGTCCAATGCGATTTCTTCAACTGTATAGGGGCATGTACAGGTACAGTACGATTACTTTAAACGGTTCTTAAGCAGGGTTCTGTAGGGGTTCATAGGGTTCTACCATAGGAGGTAAAATAGGAGCTACCGGCCCTGCTAAGTCACACCAGGTGCCAACCCCGTCCAGACTGGGAACCCAGAGCAGACTGGGAACCCACACCAGACTGGGAACCCAGACCAGTATGATGCGACCCTTGTCCTGCTGAGCAATGACGTCTTGAATGGACGCACTGGAGATTGGCGACGAGCTTTGGTCCCGCAGCAGGGGGCCTTTGTTGATTTCATGTGGCCAGGACTGGGTTGAGAATGTCCCTGCGGCCATTGGCATCGCTTTGCTGCATTTGGGTGAGGTTCGCAAAGCCTTTCCGAAGTACCGAGTCCTGCCACCAGAGGTGGCCACTTTTCTTGTCAGACACTTCGAAATCTCCCGTCGGGCCAAGTGGTTGCCCCCCCCCAGTGGCAAGACTTTGGAAGCGTCTCGGCTCGCTAGATTTGAAGCCAGGGCCAAACCCTAAACCCTAAACCCCTAAATGTACTAAACTTTGGAAACTCTAAGCTTGTGAGGGTTGCGGGTGACCTCGAAGGGTTTGGCATCTAAGGCTTGCCACGGGGCTGGGCGGTTTGGTGTAACACGACGTATAGATTTGTCGGTCTAGTCGTTTGGGTACTTGTGTAGGGGACATAAGTAATGCGAGCCCTGCAGCCTCGAATCCAACCTGGAATGAAAAGCTTGCAAAGCCATCTGAAACCATGCATGCTCTTCCACGAAAAGGCAGAGAAATTTCGAACGGGAACGCCTTGCCAACACAAGTATCCCAAGCTTCAAAGCCCTAAGCCGCAAACCCAAGAAATGCAGAGCCGTAAGCATGCATACTTGTACTAACCAGGCAAAGACCTTTGGGAGCCCTCATACCCTAAAGCCCTTAAAATTTAGGGTTCAGGGTTTAGGGATATACCCTACAGCCCTTATTCTTGGAGGGTCGGCAGACCTAGCAAGACTTGGTTTTATGGTGTTACAAGAGCGAAACAACCCCAATCCCAATTTTCAAAGGCTCCGTGTACCACTCATTTAAGGCCTAAGCATGTACTATGTGGGTACATGGAGCGATAGGGATCCCAATTCTGATCCTTTCTTGGCGGCTCGGTGCTCTAGTTAGTCCCTGCTTACCGGGAACCCCGACCCTTCAAGTATTCCTGAAGTCCTATGCCCCTAAAGCCGATCCCTAAACCCTAAACACTTCAAGTAGTTCTGAACCCAAGAACCCTAAAGCCTACTCCCAAATGCTTGAAGCAATGTTGATGTCTTAAACCACAACGCCGGGCCTGTACTATGTTTTCTCCCTAAACTTTACGCTTTTCTCCCTAAACTTTACGCTTGAAGTAATTCTAACGTGTTAAACCCCAGACCTAAACCCAACAGGGCCCAAGTACCATTGTAGTATATAAGTACTTATAGTACGTACTTGGGGCCCAGAAGTATCTACTATACTAGGTTTCGATTTGGTATTTTTTTTAATTTCCCTTATTGTGTCTAACATAGAGCACGAATTATGCATGATATTGGTGACTCTTGAATCATCTGTAAATCGACGCTATTGCTTGGACCCTGTGGGAGAGCCTATGCGATCGGTTTGAAGGAATCCCCGAAGCCTCAACCCTAAAACCTTATAAACCGTAAACCCCTAAGCCCCTACGTGGAGGGTCAGGGGACTTAGTAAGTGGATAACAAATTTACTTACAAGTACCATAACCCAATTAAGATCCTTTTTAGGGTACTTATACGTCTATACTTAATATATTTACTAAGTCCAGCGACCCTCCAAGTAAGACCCGTAATAAGGGTATATACCCTTAATATAGCTATTATATACCCATCATATAGCCCATTACAGGGTAGGGGTCCCATTAAGGGAACCCTACAAGCCTATGCCCTTCGGAGGAATCCTGGGCCGAGAGGGGCTGGTGCCGCACCGAGCGCCTCGCGCGAGAGCTCGCCGCTCGGGAGGCCGTCGTTTTGTTTTTGTGCGTTTCTTTGGGAGTTCAGGGTTTGAGGGTCTAGGGTTGTTGAGGGTTTAGGGTTGTTGAGGGTTTTAGGGTTTTAGGGTATAGGGTTGTTGAGGGGTTTAGGGTTTTAGGATTTAGGGTTGTTGAGGGGTTTAGGGTTTTTTAGGGGTTTAGGATTTTTGAAGGGTTTAGGGTTTTTGAGAGGTCTAGGGTTTTTGTGGTTCAGGGTTTGTTGAGGGTCTGGGGATTGAAGACAGGCATGCTGCGAGGGTTACGTGTGCACCCCACACCCCGAACCCGGAACCCTTAATTAAATTCAAGAGCCTCACCGATAAGTCCTCAACCTAGACCTACACCCTAAACTTCATCCAAAGCCCTAAATTAGGAACCCAAAAAGCACATAAGCATAAGCATTTTGTGGGGATATTTCACCTTCATGAGCTTCATTATCAGGGGGTTTATATGGGATATCCCTATCCTAATATTTGCTTATGTGCTTTTTTAGCCCTACTAAACCCGCCGGTGGGGTGCCCCGATGGGAGGATGGTTTCGTGATCCTCATCGAGAGTCCCATGCACCAAAGCCTGACACTTGCTGGAAAGAAGCTGGTATGTTGGCGTTTTCTTAGGGGTACTTAGAAATGATTCTTGATTTTTGTCTATTATAATCCCTAAGAAACAGCTAAAATTATAATTGTTGCTAGGGTTCTAAATTCAGTATAGTTATGTAATTTTATGAGAGGCGGCAAGACTCCGAACCCCAGGGCTTAAAGTATGTGGTTACTCTACCCTGAGGGTCTGCAGAATCCTAGTATGTATACTTTGGCCCAACAGTGCCGGCATGCGGATCAAAAAAAAATTTAATCAGGATCAAAAAAAATTTATTTGGGATCAAAAAAAAATTTAAGCAGGATCAAAAAAAATTAATCCTGCGTAGTAGTAGTAGTAGTAGTAGTAGTAGTAGTAGTAGTAGTAGTAGTAGTAGTAGTAGTAGTAGTAGTAGTAGTAGTAGTAGTAGTGGTGGTAGTAGTAGTAGTAGTAGTACTAGTAGTAGTAGTAGTAGTAGTAGTAGTAGTAGTAGTAGTAGTAGTAGTAGTAGTAGTAGTAGTAGTAGTAGCGTGGGTGGGGGCCCTCCCCTCCACGCCTTTGCCGCACCCTTCCGTACCAAAACCACCATGATTGTTATGTTTGGGGCTCGCCCTCGTCCCCCTCCCCTCTCCCCCCCTTCCATCCCCCCCCCCCCCACACTGCCGCTCCCCCCTCCCCCCCCCTGCCCGGGCCTGATCGGTCCTCCCCCTCTCCACACTCCCTCCCCACGTAGCGCGTCCCCCCCCTCCACACAACGCGTTTCCCCCCCTCGGGCCTTGAAGAAGACACGAAAATAATAATAATAATAATAATAATAATAATAATAATAATAATAATAATAATAATAATAATAAATAATGATAATAATAAGAATAATGATAACAAGAAGAAGAATAATAACAACAACAACAACAATAATAATAATAATAATAATAATAACAACAACAGCAACAACAATAATAATAATAGCAATTATTATTATTATAATTATAATAATAATAATTATTATTTTAATAATAATAATAATAATAATAATAATAATAGTAATAATAATAATAATAATAATAATAATAAGAAGAAGAAGAAGAAGAAGAAGAAGAAGAATAACAACAACAACAACAACAACAACAACAACAACAACAACAACAACAATAATAATAATAATAATAATAATAATGCTCCTGCCGGGGGGGGGTTCCTTCCCTTCCTTACCCGATCCCTCTCCGTCGGGCCGCCCTCCCAATTCCCCCCCACCTAACACAAACTAGCGGTTCCTCCCCTCCAACGCTGTTTGCCCCCCCCCGCCCCCTTTTCCCTCCCTCTTTCCCTCCACAACACCGTTATTTTTGTTTTTGCCTGTTTGGCCTCCCCTCTCCCCCTCCCTCCCCTCCCCTCCGCTCCCCTTTCCCCTCCCTGCCCCCTTAACTCGGAAACCCCCTCTTCCCCCATCGCGTCTTTTGGGGCTCGCCCTCGTCCCCCTCCCCTCCCCCCTTCCATCCCCTGCCTCTCCACACTCCCTCCCCACGTGGCGCGTCCCCCCCCCTTCCAGCCCCCCCCTTCCCTTCTTGTCGTTCCTCCCATTATTTTGGCTTCGCCCTCCTCCCCTCCCCACCCTCCACACTCCCTCCCCACATCGCGTTCCCCGCCTGGAACCACCTTTGCCACCTCCCTGCTCCTCCCCTCCTCCCCCACCCCTGCCCTCCCCCCTTCCCCCCTCCCCCACACCCCACGCAGTTCCTGCGATTTCTAGGCACTGCGCGTGGGTGGGGGCCCTCCCCTCCACGCCTGTGCTGCACCCTTCCGTACGCCCACCTCTTCCGCATTATCACTCCTCCCCTCATCTCCAAGCCCTAGGGAGGAGCGGGCCCTCCCCCCCCGCCCACACTGCCGCTCCCTGGTCGGTCCTCCCCCCTCCTCCCCCCCCCACACTGCCCCTCCCTCCCCCACCCCTGCCCTCCCCCATTCCCCCTCCCCCACACCTCGTCCGCGCAGTGCCTACAATTCCTAGGCACTGCGCGTGGGTGGGGGCCCTCCCCTCCACGCCTTTGCCGCGCCCTTCCACACATACAATTTTTAGCCTGCGGGCCAAACACCACCCTCCTGCTTTTCCCGCCCACACCTCTTCCTCTCCCTCCCCCTCCCCTCCCCTCCGCCCGCCGAACCAGAAATAGTTTCAGACGCAGACCAGCCATCAAAACCGGGCAGTACGATTTGTGACAGCCGATACTCCCAACTGTAGAAGTCGTTGCGCTTTCCTGTTGTGGTGAGCAGTACTTTGGGGAAACACTTTGGGGGGGTCGTTGCGTTTGGGTGTCTACTTGGTGTTTTACATGTAATGTTTTAACTCTGCTGATTTACCGTAGGTGGCAGGGTGTCGATTTCGTAACTTGCAGTGGTTTATCGAGCTGTTTGGAAGTTCGGAGCATCGGTTTTTTGTGAAGATTTAGGCTGAGGACGAAGGAATGAGACTGTGTAAGCAGCTCCCTCGGGACCGCGGCTAGTTTGCGGAAACAGTGGGTGATTGCAAGGACCCTGCCGCGTCCCCCTCCTTGCGCACTGTTAGTTGGGGATTTGTATACGGAAACTTTAGCGCTTGGGAGTAGCCGGGAGGTGGTCAAGGGAGATGCCTGGAACAGACACTTTCCTAGTCTGTAGACAGAGCATGCTTGAAGCTGCTGGCGGCGATTCTCTGTGGAGTGCGCTCCTCGATCCTTGATTTGTGCGCGCAGGAACGTGTCTCGAGTCGTCTTTTGGCTTCAGTTGTGTAGCTCTGCCATGGCTTCTAAAAAGAAGTACCGTACTGGCGAGCCTGTGTGTCCCAGCTGCAGGCGTGTCGGTTGCATTCGCGCCGCACCTTCCTTCGTTTGATTGGTCGCAGGAAGCGTCACCTTACCCAGCTCAGAACAGAGAGGCCGCGGTTGCTGCTCTGCAACATTGTTCTCGCGACGTGTGCCCTTCGTTCTCAGGCTGGTGACAATGTGGCAAGATACGGAGGGAACGAAATGGAGATGGTGCCAGAAAGGCAAGTTGGCCCGATGGCTCTACTGCCTGGAGTGTCACCGCCTGCATTTCGGGGAGGCGACCCCGGACTAGCGTGACATACATACTTGTGTGACGAAGTCAAGCTTGACTGTCAGGATGGGCGCACCAACAATCGTTGGTGTCTGCCTGGCGGCAGGAACCCGGACGGCCGAAAGCTCTACATCACCACACCCCCGCCGGAGTCGTGGGCTCCTCCGCTCGTTTGCCACACTTGAGATATGCGGCACTCGGTCAAGACGTGCCTCGTGCCAGACGCGGCGCCGGCGCGCCGTCCGCAAGAAGTCTAAGCCGGTTCCACTCCCTCCTCCACACGGACCCGTGCGATCCTCAAAGCATGCGACGGTCATGCCTCAGTCACATAGCAGCCCGCCTGCAGGCCCCAATCCTTCGACGCCGGAGCGTCCACGAGGAGACAAGGTTTGCTTTGACATGTGTGCAAGTTGCAACTTCAAGGCCTTCTCTCATCGCCCTGAATTCAATGCAGAGGCCGCTGCAGCGGAGGGTCGGCGTCTCCTTCGGGCATGTCCAGAAGGCCCTCGCAACTCCCACATACAGTCTTGTGGACGCTGAAGCCTTTTTGCACGCAGGTGACCGTTCTCAGCTTCAAGAAACTGAGAGAGCTTCTGTGGCGCACTGCTGAGTCCCTGCGTCACCAAAAGTCTGCACAGGGTGCTGCGCCGAGTTTCCTGTCTTGCAGGTGGACAGCGCCCGGGCGGGACGCCGCTTGCGACACCTGTGGCAGGTGCCGCCTTGTCGCTGTGTCAAGATCAGCTCGCCCGAAACATTCCTGGCTGTGCCTGTTGAGACTAGAGAGTCTTAGGCGCGTGCCGACACGCTCCTGTCGAGCAGAGGCTGCGCCAAATTATCTCTTGCGTCAGGTAGTCTGCGTCCACTGAGCAGAATGCCACGCCTTGCTATAGGGTGCACCTGGCAGCTCACGTTTGGCGCAACCGGAGCTGTGCTCTCAGACCTGTGAAGTCCATGTGTGTGTGTGTGTGTGTGTCTCGTGTGTTTTGCCCATGCTTTCGTCTGTCAGGCTTCGCTGTGCGGACTGTCGCAAAGACGACGTGCAGAACTGCGCCTGAAACAACTCGCGACTGCTGCTTCCGGCGCCTCTCTCCCAGACCGGTAACGACGCACTAGCGAGCTTTGACCCTGCAGGTCCTGTAGTTGCTGTTGTTGCCGCCGTTGTAGAAGTACCAGTGGTGGTAGTGGTAGTGGTAGTAGTAGTAGTCGTCGTCGTCGTAGTAGTAGTAGTAGTAGTAGTAGTAGTAATAGTAATAGTAGTAGTAGTAGTAGTAGTAGTAGTAGTAGTAGTAGTAGTAGTAGCAGTAGCAGTAGCAGTAGTAGCAGTAGCAGTAGTAGTAGTAGTAGTAGTAGTAGTAGTAGTAGTAGTAGCAGTAGTAGTAGGACCAGCAGCAGTAGCAGTAGCGGTAGCAGTAGCGGTAGCAGTAGCAGTAGCAGATAGTGGCAGTAGCAGTAGCAGTCGCTAGTAGTAGTAGTAGTAGTAGTAGTAGTAGTAGTAGTAGTAGTAGTAGTAGTAGTAGTAGTAGTAGTAGTAGTAGTAGTACTAGATGTTTCCGCCAGTGTACAGCTGCTTTTGTGCGATGTCGATGCTATTTGCTGCTGGCACTGCGTCTGGAGCGGTTGCCTGCGAAATCGGGGATGGCTGGTGTTGATGTGCTATGTGCTGTGACGCCCCTGACGTGTGTCTCCAGCGGGTGCTTGTGGAATCGAGCGTCCACATGGTGAATGGCTGGTTCGGATGTGCTGCTTGCCACATGCAGATTCGACGTTTTGGCCTGTGCTCTTTGAAACTCGGCGCGCGCTTGCAGTTTCGATTCGTTTGAATGCCCGGTGGCTCCTGTTCCGCAAGGACATGGGGCTGCAGGGTCTGCGGTCTGCTGAATGCAGGGGTTTAGTGAGATGTTTCCCGCCGCCATGGTTGTTGCCAGTT